GGCCGGTGGCATTATGGAACCTGGGTTCAGGGGGACGGTCCCCCGAGGGCGCGGGCGCGGGGAGAGCGCAGCCAGCGGACGGGGCAGGTGACGAGGCTCCGGGTTCAACCCAAGACCCTGGGGCCTCGCCCCGCGTCCCTCGTCCTCTCGGTGCGATGGGGCGTCGGAGACCCGCCCGCAGGTGTTGGGAGGAGGCGGCGCCGTCCTTGGAGGCCTCGTCACCTGACTCCACAAAGGACCCCGCACCCCCAGCAGACGTCCCCTCCTGGGTCCCCGCTACTGAGTGTCACGGGGTCCTGGTCCCCACAGGTGGAGGAGTTTGAGCACGATGTCCCCGAGGACCTGGGGCCACTGCAGTTCGTGAAGTTGCGCAAACACCACTCCCTGGTGGACGACGCGTGGTTCTGCGACCGCATCACGGTGCAGGGCCCAGGCGCGGGCGAGGAGGCCGCCTTCCCCTGCTACCGCTGGGTGCAGGGCGAGGGCGTGATGAGCCTGCCCGAGGGCACAGGTGACAGGCTGCCTCGGGGACCTGGGTGCAGGGCTGGGGCGCCTGGGGGCTGGGGGAGGCAGGGGATAGCACTGAGGAGGGCCCGAGGGGCTTGAGAAAGGGCGAGCTCAGCAGGTCCAGAGTGGACAAGACGGGAACTGGGGGGAAATTATACAAACGATAAAAAGCCTGGAAGGGGGCTGGACAGGGAACTAAGTGATGTGCAGATCCCCCCTCCCAAGGAGGCGACACAGGTCATGGGGGTGCAGCAATGCTGGGAAACAGAAGAGCCAAAGCCAAGTGGAAAGGAGATCTCTCTGTGACTGGGAGCAAGTTAGGGCAGGGACAGGTAAGGCTAGGACATGAAATGGGGGGGGGGGTGACCCCTGAGAGGGGTCAGGTAAGGGAAGCAATAAATGACATGAGGTGGAACTGGCTTGGCTGTGAAATATGGAAACAACTGTGGGGCGGGGAGCACACTGACATGCCCATGAATGAGGACAGCTAACGTGGCATCTGTTACTGTGGGAAATAAGAGATGAATACAGAGACACATGAGGTCCAGGACCAGTAAGAATGGAAACATGAACTATGACTGATACAGGTGAGTGTAAGTGCTGCTAAGGCAGGAAGAAGTCAGTAGACTTCAACGGTAAGTGTAAAAAAGATGAAGTCAGGTAAAGCAAGCAAACAGTTCTTCCGAGGACAACTGAAGGTGTGGCAGGTGAGCTTCAAGAAGTGAAAATTCACCAAAGCAATATATAGTAGAAAACAGGTGTGGGCATAGGGGTGATTAAGGTTTTATCACCTTAATTCAGGTGATTTATCCAACCATAGATATTGATGAAACAGGATCAGGTGAGGAAAGATGAATTCAGGGACAAGAAAAGGGTGGCAAATATGGCACTTTTGTCTCAAGGCAAGAGATGAGGGCTAAGATAAGTGAAACCAGGAGTGCATGCATGCATAAATAAATAAATATAAAAAAATAAAAACGAAACCAGGAGTGCAAAGTTGGAATAAATGTTTCTGGGGAATCAATGAAATGAGGCACAGCCAGAGATCAAAACAACGGATCGTGACTGAAAACATGGACTATGAATCAAAAAGGAAGGTGAGGACAAGCAGGGAGAGCACAAGACAGCACAAAATGTGTGGCCAATTGTATTAATGTCTCCCCAGCCCGCCTGGCAGGAGACAATGCATTGGATGTGTTCCAGAAACATCGAGAGAAGGAACTGAAAGAAAGACGACAAATATACTGGTGACCACCTTCCCATATTAGATCCCCAAGTTCCACACACACCCTTCCCTGACCCTGCCCACATCACTGACCCGAACACTCACCCTGACGCCTTGTCCCCAACTCCTAGCTGGGCCACCTGGAAGGAAGGGCTACCCCTGACAATAGCTGCAGGCAGTGAGGATGATCTACCTCCAAATGCAAGATTCCACAAGGAGAAGAAACTGGACTTTGAAACGACACTGAGGGCAGGGTAAGGAAAAGCCTGGAGCTGAGAGTGGAATGAGGGCTGGGATATCCAAGAATGATGGTAAGTAGCGAGGGGATCAGGAATTGGCGAATGGGGTCATGCCTCAACACCTGTCCTAGGATTCTGGAGATTGCCCTCAAGCGTGTTTACACCCTCCTGAGCTCCTGGAACCATCTGGAGGATTTTGATCAGATCTTCTGGGGCCAGAAGAGCACTCTGGCTGGTCAGTGATTCCCCCAGGTCTCTATAACCCCTTGATGGCCCCCTTTGATGCCCCCCTTTGATGCCCCGACCTTATACTCCATAGGCCCCCATAGCACCTTGCCAGATGAGACGTCATCTCAGAGAGGGGCTGGACACAGGGTAGTCTTTGCCTGAATCACTGGGGTAGAGCCTGCAGGAGGGACACTGAGTTGTGGTGAAAATCCTCCTCCTCTTGGAACACATAATACAATATACAGATGACGTGTTATAGAATTCAATTTACTATCCCCCATCCTGACCCCACAGAGAAGGTTCAGCAGCGCTGGCAGGATGATGAGCTCTTTGGCTACCAGTTCCTCAATGGCGCCAACCCCATGCTGCTGAGACGCTCCACCTCTCTGCCCTCCCGGCTGGTGCTGCCCTCGGGGATGGAGGAGCTTGGGGCCCAGTTGGAGAAAGAACTCCAGGTACGCCCTCCAGTCCTGTTGTCTTCTCCTTGTCTGTGTGGGAAGCAAGTGGTGAAGGGGAGGGATCGAAGGTGAGTCTGAGAAGGGAGGCTGTGGTAACCCACTGTCCCTGGGTACAGACAGAGTCCTCTGCTGGAAAAAACCTAGAGATGATAAAATATGTAGGAGAAACTATGAGGTACTCCCAGCATGGATGTCCCAGGCACATACAGGTGGGGCCAGTGATGATACAGCTGGAACAATGACATTCCCTGGCTGATGTCAGTGCTCCCAACACCAGTGTTTATGGGCAGCAAGAAAGGTGAAGAATGCAGTCAGGTGGGGAGAACTGAGGTTTCCTGGAGGAGGAAAGCTGGATACAGAAAAGATGAACTGGATGTAAGGCAGAACAAGACAGGACGTGAGCATGTCCACTTGCACGCGTCTGGATTCTGTGGCAGTGGTAGTCAGGGGAACCTCTGTGGATTACTTGGCAGAGGAGGTAAGATTTGGACAGAGAGTGAAAGAGCGTTTGCTGACCTGATGGGAGCCAAACACAGGGAGCAGACTGCTGGGTGATGATGGGGAAGGGGCACGGCCATCTTTTTTTTTTTTTAATGTGTATTTTTATTGATTTCAGAGAGAGGAGGGGAGAGGGAGAGAGAAAGAGACATCAATGATGTCACTAATTGGCCACCTCCCGCATGCCCCCTGCTGGGGATTGAGCCTGAAACCCAGGCATGTGCCCTAACCGGGAATCAAACTTCGCTCTCCTGGGTCCTAGGTCAATGCTCAACTGCTGAGCAACGCCCAGCCAAGCAAAGATAAATGTCTTTAAATGTCTCCCCCCGCCCCCCGTTTGCCCTGTCCCTCTGGGGGTAGACTTTGAACTCTAACCATGGATATGTTCTTCATTTCTCCAGAAGGGTTCCCTGTTTGAGGCTGACTTCATCCTGCTGGATGGAATTCCAGCCAATGTGATCCAAGGAGAGCAGCAGTACCTGGCTGCCCCCCTCGTCATGCTGAGGATGGAGCCCAGTGGGAAGCTGCTGCCCATGGTCATCCAGGTGAGGTGCTCTGGGAACCCCCCTCCCAACACTGCTCTCTGTTCACTGCAACCTCTGCTCCTGGCTCTTGGCTCCCAAATTCCAATCTCACAGAGTGAGACCTGTCCTCATGTCACTCTTTGCTTGCAGCCTGGTTTTCCCTGGCTCACCCAACTGGAAGTACTTGTTCAAGAGTCATAATGGCCTTTTGGAGTCTCATCCTGTACTCAGTGGTTCTCAAACTTTAGTGTGCGTTAACACCACCTGAAGGGCTTGTTAAAACACAGGTTCTGGGTCCACCACCAGATTTTCTGATTCAGTAGATCTGGGGTGGCAACTGAGAATTTGCCTTTCTAACAAGTTCCAAAATTATGCTGATGCTGCTAGTTTGGGAACACACTTTGAGAATCACTATTTCATCTCTCAGTAGCCTTGACTCTAAATACCCATTGTTTCCTGGATATCTTTTCTCACAAAGCTCTCAACAGTCAGGAAGTAAGTACTGTCAGTATCTCACACATCCAGTTTCTCCTTTTCACCCCCGCCCTAACTCAGAAGCCCATCACGTTTCTCCCAAACCACTGTTAGAATCTTCCTACTGGACTCCTGCTTCTGACTCCCCTGCATTCAGCCTGGCCATCATGGCGCTGAGATGGCCCACAGCCAGTGAGAGGCAGGGAGGAAGGATCCTCTTCTTCCTACCAGATTATAACCTCCTGGAAAAGAACAATCGTACTTAGTTCTCCGTTTCCCCGAGAACGCTGACCTTAATGTCATACATAAAGTGGAAGTTCAATAAATGTTTCATTTTTTTCCCAGATCCAGCCTCCCAACCCCAGCTTTCCAACCCCACCACTGTTCCTGCCCTCAGATCCTCCACTTGCTTGGCTCCTGGCAAAGTCCTGGGTCCGAAGTTCAGATTTCCAACTGCACGAGCTCCGATACCATCTTCTGAACACTCATCTGGTAGCTGAAGTGATCGCTGTGGCCACCATGAGGTGCCTCCCAGGACTGCACCCTGTCTTCAAGGTACATCCCCTACCCTCAGTGTCCCATATTGCTCAAACCCAAGGCCAATATCAAATGATACTGCAGCGAAAAGACAAAATATCAAAGATTTGGTGAAGGGAGGAAACAGCAGGTGCACATGCCTGGGAATAAGACTGAAGAGAGAAAGGTCACAGGTCTAAGCTGCAACAACTAAGAGCCCACAGGGTGGGTGTGTTGTAATTTTATAAAACAGCGAGTTCAGTATCTGCTGCTACGCAGAAGGCGGCAAGTTAAGACTTGTGCTTGCTTGAAAGTATTCTCAAAATCTCGATGACACTTTAGGTATAGGGAACATGGCAGAGAAGGGACAACACTGATACAAGCTTATGAACCAGAGCAACTGTCAAAAACAGCAAAGTCATGAGAGAAAGCCAGTCTGGAAGCAAACATGAAGTGTTCATATTAGGTACACGGAGTTTGAAATGTTGGCAAGATATGCAAATGAGTACCTAGGTAAGGAGAACTGAACTGTGTTTCAAGCTAGGGGCTTACACCCTGACCCCCCCAAACCTGGCCAATAGTAGCTATGGTCTCATTGAGTCTGGGGTAACACAGACAAGATGGAGACCAGTGTGATTAACATGATCTTGGCCTTTACTGATCTCATGGTGCTCCTGCATCACCATCTTCTTCTTACTCCCCTGGTGAAGGCCCTCTCCACACCTATATCCACTCACCAAAATGACTTCATCTCATGGCAAAGCACGGAGCTGCTATCGGGTCACACAGAACTAACCTGTAAATGTCATAAAGCTTATGTAGGCAGGCTGTGGATTCGGACTGCCAGGGTCTAAATCCTGAATCCTAACTCAGTATCTACCAGATGCTCACTCGCTTCGAAGAGGACAACGGGAGCTCCACCATAGGTTGTTGAGTGATAAAATGGTATAACAATGTAACGCAGGCTGCAAACTACTTATTAGGAGTTGTTTGTCCTCAAGTATCTTCCCTCTTCATGGGGACTTTGGGCTTTCTATGACATTCCGCATCTTTCATGAACTTTCTGAAAAGTTTCACACTAATGTGAGCTGCTTTGACGTCTTGACACCAGAGGTATCACTTGGGTCATTCCCTGTGTCCAGCATCCACAACTCAGATAAATACCAACACTGCATGAAACCTGTAGATAAACTGGGTGGAAATGAACACAAAATAGTCTGAGATAAAAGGAAATGTGAGGATCAGGTGACCTTTTTTAATACCTAAGAAAAGCTATTTTTTAAAAAGCTACTAAAAATAGAGAGGGCCTAACTGCCTAATTGGGGGTGGGGTAGCCCCTCTGCTGCTTAAGTAGGTAGCTCAGAATGGCTCCTCTTACTCAGACTAAAGGTACCCACCCCCAAAAACAACAGTGAAGTGAGCAGAGGATAAGGTGTGACTTTGGTAATGAGCAGAGAGGTAATTATAAGTTAATGAGGATGCAAATGATAGAAGTATAAAAGAAAATCAAAAGGGCCTGATTCTTTAAAATCACCAACACTCAAGGTGGAAATAATGAAGGTAAATGATAACAGCTGAGACTTGAGGACTTGAGTGTACTAAACCCTCTTCATACATCACTCACCTAAGCATCACCACTGCCTCCTGAGATAAGAAACCCTATTATCACCCCCTGTTGGCAGATGAGGTGATAGATAGGGATGAGACAGATTAACACGTAGAGGGTCCATTACCTTGGGAGAGGATCAAAGTGTAGACTGAAACCCAGGCCAGTCTAGCTCTAGAGCCTGACTCACAGGGGAGTCAAGAGCATGAGAATGAGTGATCACAGAAGGGGAAGGAGGTCAGCCTGCAAAGGCACTAGCAGGGAGGAAAGCATCAGGAGGAGGGAAAGTCACCACTCCCTAAATAAGAAGGACCCAAGCATGTCCTCCATAAACCACCCCCTCCAACCTGCTCTACCCAGCTCCTGATCCCACACATCCGCTACACCATGGAGATCAACACACGGGGTCGGACCCAACTCATCTCAGATGGAGGTATATTTGATAAGGTAAGGAGGCAATGGAGTGTGGGGCCACCTAACCATCCAACTCTGCATGGCCTCCTGTCTCTTTCAAGATCCCAGACCAACCTGTGTGAATGTCCTGACCCTTAAGCTCAGGAACCCTGTCCCTTTATACTCATGTCTTTAAATGTGAGAATCTCACATCTGAACCTTTTGTATACTGTGCTCTGAATTCTTCCCCAAGGCCTCTCATCTCTTTGTCCCAGGCAGTGAGCACAGGTGGAGGGGGCCATGTGCAGTTGATGCGTCGGGCCATGGCTCAGCTGACCTACCGCTCCCTCTGTGCTCCTGACGATCTGGCTGACCGCGGCCTGCTGGGAATCCCAAGTGCCCTCTATGCCCATGATGCTCTACGGCTCTGGGACNCGATGCTCTACAGTTCTGGGAGATCATTGCCCGGTGGGTGAGAGTGGGAGCTGAGAAATGGAGGGGCATTGGGGACAGTGAGAATGGGGCTTTGGCCTGAGGTCAGCACTGGGCCAAGGGATCATGAAACAGAAGGTCCAGACAGGAGGAGCAGAGNGGGATCATGAAACTGGAAGATCCAGACAGGAGGAGCAGAGGACTCAATCCTGGGCAAGATAAGGAAGAGCATGGGGACAGTGGGTGGGGTCTGATAAGGAAGAGATTAGGATGGGGGTAGACAGCCTAGGCCGGGGCAGCTGTGGATGGGGAGACTGAGGGATCTGGACAAATCAGGGTTTTTGTTAGGAAGAATGGCTATCGACCATGTATAGAGAATTTCTAGAAGTAATGACCCACATTTCATTCCTTTCTATACTAATGTGTAGAAAGAGCTGGGGAATGTCCCAAAAGGTAAATCTTGAAGGATCTATACTCAGACACAGTGAGAGTCAGCAGGACAGAGGCCATAGAAAAGGAGTAGTGGTCAGAGGCTACAGCCTTTTACTCTCATGCTCAGCTCCCTTCTCCTCTGAGCAGGTACGTGGAAGGGATCATTCACCTCTTCTACCATGGCGATGACATCGTGAGAGGGGACCCTGAGCTGCAGGCCTGGTGTCAGGAGATCACTGAGGTGGGGCTGTGCCAGGCCCAGGACCGAGGTGAGATCTCTCCCCAGGAAAGGGAACTCCTCTGACTCTTCCCAGAGCCCCTTGTCAGCCTTGCCCTTCTGGGGACATGACTCCACCCTTCATCACCTCTCTCCCTCCACACATGAAGCATCTGAATCCCATTCCCACCTCCTAAGACTCAGGACAGTCCTATAAAGCCAAGGATTGTCCTCCTCAAAAGAACCTGACCATCAACCTCTATGTCCATCTCCCATTCCTAGTCATAGATGCCCCCAACCTGCCACAGCATGGGGCCCAGTGGGTCCAGAACCACAGCTAGTGGGGGATCTGTCCAGGCCCTACTGGGGCCCATATCTCTCTCCATGGTGTCTATTTTCCTACCTGAAGATATGAATGGGAAGATTTTCCACCAAATCCCACAATGACTCACTCTGTCTTTCCTCTCATCTCCTTCCTGCTACTGTCCAGTACACACAGAGGGCCCAGTGATACTGCACACTTTACACAGTGCTCATTTCTAGGTGCAAACTCAATACTGTACATGTTTTGGCTCAAACCTAAACTCAGTTCCCTGTCCCTTGAGGTTCACATTCCTTTGGCCAATCCGTCCTCCCCCTCCCCCTGCCCGGATCTAGCCACTAGCTTAGGATCTAGCCACTAGCTTAGGATCTAGCCACTAGCTTTAGCATCCCCTACCCACATTTAACCTGGGGAAGAAACTGTCTTTCTTCAGCTCTCCTAGGTTCATGCTCCTCTCTCTAGCACACATCAACCAACTTGGACTGCTTCAAATCGTCCTTCAGCCCCTGCTCCTCACACTTCACACCAACATCTCTGCCTCTGTGGAACACCTACAGACATCTACTGGGGAGCCATTGTGGCCAGACCCTGGGGATGCAGTGAGCAATAAACCAACACCTGCACTCTGGAGGAGCCTCTCCCCGGGGAATCTGAGGCTGCACCACTCCCACCCTCCCAGGACCGAGCTTCTTTAGACATCTTGGTACTGTCCCTTAGGCTCCACATGACCCCAGAAGTCTCTTCTTCCTCTCCCTGGCCATCCTTTCCCCAACTAGAACCAACTACATTTGGAAAATAAAACTTCCACATGTTCACTTTAACCTCCACTAACTGCCTCTCATTCTCTCTCCCTCAGTTCTCATAGCTGACTTTTGCCTAATTTTCCCAATAGACTTGCGGAGGAAATGTGTTAAGATGAAAAACTCCGAAATTAACCGTCAAAAACCCGAGTTCAAAGGCCTCTGCCTTTTCCCAACTGTGTTCTGACAAGCAGTTTATTCTCTCTGGTCTTTGATTTTTTTTTAAATCTATAAAAGGGGAGTGGTTATATTTGTTCCATGTAACTGAATTGGGTCCCTGAGTCCCCATCTCCACTGTAAAATGAGCAGCCTGGGACAACTTTCATGGAAAGCCCATTGGCTGTGACACTAGAAATCCATAGTGTCCCTTATTCCTTACCTTATACCTCAGGCCCTTGTAATTCCCTGTCTGAGAACAGGAGGAAGCAGCCCTACATTCTTAACCACTTTTTAAGGCAGAAGATATTTGATCACTTGACCTTTTCAGTCCCCAACCCTTCTATAATGACAATAATTATTATTTACTAAGCACTTGTTACATAACAGGTGATTTTGATACATTATCTCATTTATAAGGTAAGTAGCACCCACACTTTACACAAAGAAATTGAGGTTCAGAGAAGTTAACTGGCCTGGGTATCCAAACTAGGTGGCTTGAGCCTGAACTGAAACTTATGTCTGATGCAAATATATTTGAATAAATGAACCAACACCCACCAATTCCAAAATACAAACATCCCAAAACATTGGCCTTTATTTCTCTCCTCTCCTGCTGTAGCCTCTAAATCTTGTTCCTCTCTTGCCCAGGTTTCCCTGTCTCCTTCCAGTCTCTGAATCAACTCTGCCACTTCCTTACCATGTGTGTGTTCACATGCACTGCCCAGCATGGGGCCATCAACAAGGGCCAGGTATGGACAGCTAAAAGCCCAGGTCCCTGAAAGCAAGTGTCTGGACCTTGGGATGCCCAAGGGAGAGATAGGGATTCAAACCCTAAGTACCAGGATCCTAGAGTTGTACTTTCTTTCCCCAGCTGGACTGGTTTGCCTGGGTCCCTAATGCCCCATGCACAATGCGAATGCCCCCACCGACCACCAAAGAAGATGTGACAATGGCCACAGTGATGGGCTCACTACCTGATGTCCAACAGGCATGTCTTCAAATGGCCATCACATGGCATCTGGGTCGACGCCAGCCAGACATGGTAAGAGAGGACTCTAGGAAAAGGGAAACAATAACGGAAGGGAAACATCAGAGTGAGGGGCTAGGCTCTAGGTGTTTCTGCCTTCAAACTAGAAACTGACTGATCCTTTGTTCTTTCTTAGGTACCTCTGGGGCATCACAAAGAAATGTATTTCTCAGGCTCCAAGGCCAAGGCTGTACTAAACCAATTCCAAACAGATCTGGAAAACTTGGAAAGGGAAATTACAGCCCGGAATGAGCAACTTGGCTTAGCCTACGAATACTTAAAGCCCAGCCACATAGAGAACAGTATCACTATCTGAGCTCTAAGGTGTCCCCACCTGGAAAACTTTAGCTCTCCCAACTAAATCCCCTACATCAGTATCCCATTTGCCCAGGGTGGGCAGCAAACCTTTTCTGTAAAAGGCCAAATAAAAACTGTAGGCTTTGTAGGCCACACAGTCTCTGCTACAACTACTCAGCTCTCCCATTGCAGCAAAAAGCAGCCACAGACAATATGAAAATGAATGAGTGTGACTGTGTTCCAATAAAGCTTTATTCATGGACAGTGAAAGAACTTAATGTGTCACAAAATATTCTTCTTTTGGTTTACAACCATTTTAAAATGCAAAAAGCAGCCCTAGTCAGTTTGGCACAGTGGTTAGAGTGTCGGCCCAAAGACTGAAGGATCCCAGGTTTGATTCCGGCCAAGGGCACAGATCTCAGTTGCAGGCTCTATCCCTGGCCCTAGTCAGGGAGCATGTGAGAGGCAACCAATCAATGTGTCTCTCTCACACTGATATCTCTCTCTCTCTCTCTCCCTCTCTCTGAAAAGCAATGGAAAAAAATAAAATATCCTTGGGTTAGGATTTTTAAAAATGCAAAAAACAAACAAACACCCCTGCGCTTTGGTAAAGCGGTGCACAGGCTGCAAGCTGAATTTGGCCTTCAGTGGCAGTACCTGAACAAGGGTGCACTGCTCTAGCCTGAGGCACTGACCCTACTTGCAAACATCCAGAGAATGCTCTCAGGGGTGGGTGGGAAAGATTTCTTGGAGAAATGAACTACCTCAACTAATTCTCCTTTCCCAGGAGCTAGACTTCATGCTTGGTGAGCAAGTTAAAAATTCCTGATTCTGTTCTTTCACAACTTTCCTTCCACCCCTATTATTCTTATTCACACATCTACCCCCCAAAAACCCTGGAATAAGAAAGGTACTCCTAGAGCAGAATAAAAACTTTTGGCTTCCTTCCCCAAACAGTCTCAACAAAAGAGACCTGTCTCAAGGCCACTTTCTCAGCCCCTTTAATACACTGGAGTCGCTGCATGTGTCCCAGGTTCCACATTCTCTCTCACTACCCTTTTCAGAACAATATGCATGGGGTAGATCCAAGATGGCGGCAGACTAAGTGGAAACTTCACTGAACTCTCCCAGGACCAAACTGGAATTACAACTAAAATATATAAAAATCACCCTGAATAATCAACTCAACTGAAGACTAGCTGGAGAGCACCCTCATAACCAAGAATGAAAAGTGGAGACTACACTGAGGCTGCTTTTGCCTGGGGGGGAAGCAACACCCTCCCCCTTGCTGGAAAACCTCAGGCCCCACCCTGTGGAGTTTCTACAGCCTGAGGCTCATTAAGAAACTGAATAACAGCCTCTGGGTACTTTGAGCCTTTGACTGATCTGCTTCTGGACCCAGGGCTTGGAAAAGCAGATCTTGATGAGCATCTTGGTCCTGTCCAAACACACCAAGCCCCAGCAGAAGAAACTAGAAGCTGTGGAGTGTCGAAAACTTCAAACAGGGTACTCAAGGCCAGTCACAAACAGCATCTGACATTGGCCTCCACCAGAAACTATCCAGAAGACTGGGAGTCCTACAGATCTACCTAATGCATAGAAATAAATCCAAACAGGCAGCCAAAATGGGGAGACAAAAAATCCCCAGCTCTAGCCAGTTTGGCTCAGTGGTTAGAGCACTGGCCCACAGACTGAAGGGTTCCAGGTTCTATTTCAGCCAAGGGCACATACCTTGGTTGCAGGTTCAGTCCCCAGGCAGGGCGAGCGTGGAAGGCAACCAATCCATGTATCTCTCTCTCCCTTCCACTCCCTCTGAAAAGCAATGGAAAAATATCCTCAGGTAAGGATTAAAAAAAAAAAAAAAAAAAAAGCCCCAAATGAAAGAAAAAATTCTCCAGAATAAAAGCTAAATGAAATGGAGATAAGCAATCTATTATATATGGAATTCAGAATACTGATCATAAGGATGTTCAACAGCATGAAAAAAGTATGGAAACTATGAAGGAAATTAAGAATGACACAGTAGAAATTTTAAAAACATTGGAAGGAATGAGCAGCAGATTAGGGGAAGCTGAGGATTGGATCAGTGAATTAGAAGACAGGGTAGAAAAAAATCACTCAGTCAGAGAACTAAAAAGAAAAAACAATTAGAAAACAGGAGGACAGTTTAAGGGACCTGTGGGACAATATGAAATATTCACATCATAGGAATGCCAGAAGAAGTAGAAAGTCAGCAAGGGTTAGAGAACCTGTTTGAAGAAATAATGGCAGAAAACTTCCCTAACCCGGTGAAGGAAAGTCACACAAGTTCAGGAGGCACAGAGAGTTCCAAGCAAGAAGAATCCAAAGAGGCCCATGCCTAGACACATCATAATTAAAATGCCAAAAATTCAAGACAAAGAGAGACTCTTAAACGCAGCAAGAGAAAGGCAATCTTTTACCTACAAAAAAGCTCTCATAAGGCTGTCAGCTGACTTCTCACCAGACATTACAGGTCAGAGGGAATAGCATGCAGTATTCAAGGTAATGCAAAACAAGGATCTGAAACCAAGAATACTCTATCCAGCAAGGCTATCATTCAACATAGATGGTGAAATAAAGAGCTTTCTAGGCAAAAGAAGGCTAAAGGAATTTATCACCACCAAACCATCATTGCAAGAAATGTTAAAGAGACTGCTGTAATAAGAAGTTGAAATAGAGAGAATGAGAAACATAGGCATAAAGAAATAAAATGGCAATAGATAAGTACCTATCAATAATAACCTTAAATATAAATGGATTAAATGTCCCAATCAAAAGACATAGGGTAGCTGAATGGGTAAGAAAATAAGACCCAAATACATGCTGGCTACAAGAGACCCACCTCAGAACAAAAGACTCACACAGGCTGGGGGGCGGGGGGGAGGGGGAACAAAAAACTTCTGGAGGACTTTAAAGGAGAGGTAGACAGCAATACAGTCATAGTAGGGGAATTTAACACCCCACTGACTTTACTGGATAGGTCTTCCAGACAAAAAATCAACAAGGAAACAGTAACTCTAAATGACACACTAGAACAGATGGATTTAATTGACATTTACAGAACATTCCACTCCAAACCTGCAGAATAGGCATTCTCCTCAAGTGCACATGGGACATTCTCAAAGATAGGCCACATGTTAGGACACAAAACAAGTCTCTACAGGTTCAAGAAGACTGAAATATCAAGCATCTTCTTGGACATTTACACCATGGACTACTATGCAGCTGTGAAAACAAAGGATCGCTTACTCCATAAGACAGCATGGATGGCCCTGGAGAGTATTATGCTAAGCGAAATAAGACAGTCACAGAAAGACAAGTGTCACACGATCTTACTCGTGTGTGGAATCTAATGAACAAAATAAACCAATGAACAAAATAGATCCAGAGACATAGAAGCATGAAACAGACTGACAAATCTCAGAGGGAAGATAGGGGTGGGTAGGGGGATGGGTGGGGAGAGGTTAACATAACCATTTACATGCATATATGCATAACCCATGGACACAGACAATAGTGGGGTAAGGGGTACAGGGACACAGACTGGGGGGAGGGGTACAGTGGGGAGCGGCTCAATGGGGGGAAAAGGGGGACATTGGTAATACTTTCAACAATAAAGATAAATTTTTTAAAAACTTCAACTATAAAAAAAAACAATATGCACAAAATAAATGGAAAAAACAACAAAGATATGCTAACCACTGTTTCTTTGTCTAGTTCCAGGGTCTTGGGATCAAAATGACCCCTCTCAATTATGCTACGATCACTGTCTTCACTAGACTGGGTACAACAAGCTCAGAACAAAACTCTGCTCTTCTAACACCTGTTTCCCGAGATAATTATCACAAACCTGTCTTTTACCAATGAAATATACAAACTTTTTCTTTGGAGTGAATCATCTATTCATATTTTTTAAATCTTGTACCCTACCTTATTCAAAGGTCCTATAGTCGGTTTCCTTAGTTTACAGCAGGGAAGCAAAGTGACATTTTCTGTATTATTTCTCTCTCCCGCACATTTAGCAGGACCACTCACCTTCACAACTCAGTCTACTTTCCCTAGGCTTTTCCTAACGACCATATTTTTCCTGGGTTTAGCATCCAAAACCATTTAGTATTCCACATTTGGTAACAAAATGTTACTTAAGAATTTCCAATGCCAAGAACAATCCGCAATTTTTTTTTTTAATATATCTTTATTGATTTCAGAGAGAGGGAGAGGGAGAGAGAGAGAAACATCAATGAAGAGAGAGTCGTCATTGATTGGCTGCCTCCTGCACGCCCCGGACTGGAGATCCAGCCCGCAACCCAGCCATGTGCCCCCACCAACCGGGAATCAAACAGCGATCTCCTGGATCCTAGGTGATGTTCAACCACTGAGCCCCGCCCCGCCGGGCCCTCCGCAATTTTAAAGCCTTCTGGCCATGCCCAGCAGGTGTGGTTGGATGGTTGAGCGTGGACCCCCATGAACCAAGAGGTCACCAGTTCGATAGGGGGTCAGAGCGCATGCCAGGGTTTCCGGCTGGATCCCCAGTAGGGGGAATGCAGAAGGCGGCCAATCAATGTTTCCCTCTCATCGATGTCTCTCTACCCCTCTCCTTTCCTCTCTCTCTAAAAATAAATAAAAGCATATTTTTAAAAAAATAAAAAATAAAGCGTTCTGGCCACCACAGTACGCTTGACCTCAGGGAGGTCTCCTATTTCCTTTTACTGTGTCAGAATATCTATTTTTATAGAGATGAAAGGAGATATAGGCGATCTCTCTTAGCGTGAATTTCTGTCTCACTTATCATTTCCCCACCACAGGATACCACCCGAACCTACAGTATCCGACAGAAAAAAAATCAGTTCCAATCCTCTGCTCCTAAAAGCCCACCGGCCAAGGTTACCAGGAGCTCTGCAACCTAGACTTTCCCCAAACACCAGCTACGCAGGCGGAGGTTCCTCATCACATGACTTTCCAAAATGGGTCACGTGACTTGCCGGCTGTTTCCATCCCAACTTAGAGAGGGGGGACAAAGAAACCTAAGCCCTTGCTACTGCAAGACTCGCGCCCCAGCTACATGGGTCAATAAAGAAGTCTGGAGGTGCTACTTTGGTTTTAAACACCGCCTTTTACTACCAAAAGTTTGGAAAGGAGCCAAAGTCACCCAGAGTCCTCCACCTGGAGCGCCGCCCCCCGCACGAAGGTTGGGTCCGAAGCCACGCCCCTCGGCCGACCTCCAGTCCTGTCCTCCGCGGCGCGAGACCCCGAAATCAGCTCGCTTTTACCCTTCTGGCGAGTCGCGGAATCGTTTCACCGCCTTTCCACCCGGCCCACATCTAGGCGACCTCCGACTCCCATCTTCATGGCGTCGCTTCTGTGCTGTGGGCCCAAGCTGGCAGCCTGCGGCATCGTCCTCAGCGCCTGGGGAGTGATCATGTTGGTGAGGGGACTGGCCTGCGAGAACTGGAGAGGACCTGCGGGCCCCGGTGTTGGAGGCCTGGAAGGCAGCAGGCAGGCTGGAGGGGGTGGTTGATTAGCCGCTGGAGAGCAAGACAGGAGTGAGAATGAGAAATAGGAACTAGAGCGGGGCGGGTGGTGGGGGTACAGGGAGCTGGAGCTTGGAATGGGAGCCCGGGCTGGTAAATATGGTGACCACTCAAGATACGAGGAAGAGCTAGGTTCCTGAGAGATGCTTAAACTGAATGGAGGGCCGTGGACGAAAGAGAGCGCTTGTTCTCGAAATGTGTAGCTGGGGCCTTGTTTCCCCAGCACTCTGCCCGCCCCACTCTAGGAAGAAATAATACGTGCTGATTCCCCCTGACCCCTCTGCCCTGTCCCGTGATAATGACGCCTCTGGAAAGGAGAATTATCTGGGTTACTAGGTTACTCACTATTTCTGCCCTTGCCCCAGCCAAGTCGTCTCTTTGTCACCACTTTATGCCCTGTTCGGGGTGACTGAGTACGAATCCAGCAACAGCCATCTCTAATCCTAGCGCATTCTCTTAATTCCCAAACCCAGATGTTGTGGCAACATTATAAGTGGAAGGAGTTTAGAGAGTCACCAGGGCAGGTGCCTGAGGTCAAAATCTAACTATTCCGTTTTCAGATAATGCTCGGAATCTTTTTTAACGTCCATTCCGCTGTGCTAATTGAGGACGTTCCCTTCACGGAGAAAGATTTTGAGTAAGTGTCAAGTGGGAGAGGCTGGGAATAGGTGGGAGGTGGCTGAGCCTGTGGTCACAATTCTGGGCGGGGAATTACAGGAGTCTGGATGCTTGGGGCTCAGGGGCTAGGTAACTGAGTGTGGAGAACTGCTCTCTTTAGCATACAATTTGTATTGGTCTTGGGAGTCAGACCTTAGCAGCCATCCTAAACCCACCACTTCAGTTGTGGCTTCTTTACGTATTTTACTTGACTTCCTGTGCCTACGCCCCCCCTCTGCAAAGTGGATGCTGTAATAGAACTCGCCCCATAGGGTGAAGAAAATTGAGTAAGGTAATACATGTAAAAGCACTTAGAACCCGTTCCTAGCACATAGTAAGTACTCAGTGGATATTGGCTGCTTTAATGTCTGACATTTCTCTGCCTAATCCCCACCCCTAGGAATGGCCCCCAGAACATATACGACCTTTATGAGCAAGTCAGCTACAACTGTTTCATCGCTGCGGGCCTCTACCTCCTCCTCGGAGGCTTCTCTTTCTGCCAAGTTCGGCTTAATAAGCGCAAGGAATATATGGTGCGCTAGAGCACTGTCGCGTGTACCCTCGTCAGCCCCCTCTTCTATTTAAAGACTCTCCCCACCCCCTCCTGGTCTTCCTTCTGGGGCTGGCTGTCACCTGTGCCTCCAGCCCCCTCGCCTTTTTCCGTACCACAATAAAGAGAAACTGCCCTCTTAAGCCCTGTGTCTGTTCTTGGGGTGGGAGAGGCGGGCACCGGGGGCTGGTTCTCGGCCTCGGAGTAGGGAGTCCCTACCCCTCGGCGGAAGTGCAGTGAAGCCGGACCGGAAGGGAGGAGGTGTCTTCCACTCCCTTCTTCGCGCCGAGGCAGCCTCAGTAACTGTAGCTGGCAAGGCTCTGAGCGGCCTAGTTTGAGCCAATCAGCTGCGTGGAGGGGCGGGACTTCCTGCGCGGGTAGGAGCGGTTGGGTCGGCAAGCTCTCGGTGGTCCCGGCTCCGCGGTGGAGGTGGCGGCGGCAGCGTCTCCGAGCCGGAGACGCACGGGGCCATGACGTCAGCGTCCACAAAGGTTCGACCTCCCTTGCGGACAGCGCTCCCTGGCGGCCACGGGAGGGCGTCCCCGCCAGTTGGCTCCGGGCTCTTCCGCCTAGGGTGGGGTTTGAGGGGCGGGAGGCAGGCGGGAGTCGAGT